CCTGCCTCTGTGCTTTTCAAATCAAGCACATTGGATCACTATCTTCCAGCCGAGAGCCCTTGGTGGGTCAATGTTTGTTATTCTTACCAATTGTTTACAGCAGTGGTTCTCAACCTTCCTAATGCCGCGACCCCTTAATACAGCGCCTCACATTGTGGTGACCCCCAACCATAAAATTCGGAAAGGCGTGGGGGGTGGGCAGAAAGGCTGTGCTCATGGCAAGGGCGTGAGCGCAGCCCTCCGCCTGGCCCCTGCGCCCTTCTGAATTGCCCGCCCCCCCATGCCCCCGGAAAGGCGTGGGGGGCAGGGAGCCCTCCCTTGCCCAAACGACAAGAGTCGGCAGCTGTTTTGGAGGGGGCAGGGCCAACCAAGGCAGCTTCGCGACCCCCAAAAATGGCCCAATGACCCCCCTGGGGGTCGCGACCCCCAGGTTGAGAACCGCTGCTTTACAGCTACACACACTCAGACAGTCTGTCATGGTGGAAGAGAAATATCAAACACATGCTCAGTTCTTATAAATCGTGACTTATCTCTGTGTTGACACCCTGGACATTGTATCTGACCGACTTGACCGGATAGAATCATAGAATCCTAGAGTTGGAAGAGACCTCCTGGGCCATCCAGTCCAACCCCATTCTGCCAAGAAGCAGGAATATTGCATTCAAATCACCACTGACAGATGGCCATCCACCCCCTGTTTAAAAGCTTCCAAAGAAGGAGCCTCCACCACACTCTGGGGCAGAGAGTTCCACTGCTGAACGGCTCTCACAGTCAGGAAGTTCTTCCTCGTGTTCAGATGGAATCTCCTCTCTTGTAGTTTGAAGCCATTGTTCCACGTCCTAGTCTCCAAGGAAGCAGAAAACAAGCTTGCTCCCTCCTCCCTGTGGCTTCCTCTCACATATTTATACATGGCTATCATATCTCCTCTCAGCCTTCTCTTCTTCAGGCTAAACATGCCCAGCTCCTTAAGCCGCTCCTCATAGGGGTTGTTCTCCGGACCCTTGATCATTTTTGTCGCCCTCCTCTGGACACATTCTAGCTTGTCAATATCTCTCTTCAATTGTGGTGCCCAGAATTGGACATAATATTCCAGGTGTGGTCTAACCAGAGCAGAATAGAGCATGGGGAGCATGACTTCCCTGGATCTAGACACTATGTTCCTATTAATGCAGGATGTGTCGTTCTGGTCCAGCCTCTGTAGTGATCTTAACCCTTCAGTTATCGATGCTCCCAGGAACATGTCTTGGGAATCATCTTTTTTTCCCTGGTGCATAGCTCGACCGATCAATTGATCAATTCCCTTTTCTCTTTCTTCAGGGGCCGGAAGCGGTTCGTCAGCGAGGGAGACGGCGGCCAAATCAAGCAGTAACTGGATGGCGGCGCTTTCCGCCTTGCCCCCCACCCATTCACCCACCAGCCCTGCCATGGCCCCAGCCCATCAGGAGCCCCCACTTGGACACCCCCAAAGCTGTGCCCCCAGCAGGTGGCCATTGGGGAGAGTCTCAGGCTTGCATCCGTGCAGACTTGGAGGGGGCCTGAATGTGGCTGGAGGGGGAGGCGCGGGCCCTTTGGCTCTCCCCTCGTCCAGATATTGCCCCCCTCCCTGGTCTTGCTGCCATCACCCCACACATCTCAGGAAGGAAAGCGGGGAGCTTGGGGGTCCAGAGGGAAGAGGGGTGGGTCCCATCCTTTGGGGCGCTTTCCAGGGCGACTCCACCACGCTGCGTCCAGGAACACCCCCCTCCATCCATCCAGTATCTCAACCACACACATCCTTCACCTGGTCTTGGCCCAGAAGGGGCTTAACCTGCTTGAATCAAAACAGTGTGGGGTGCAGATGGGGGCGGATTCCGGTTTCAGGGGCTCTGGTGCTGCTGGGGGCATCTCAGGGTATGCGCACACAAGGAAGACCCTCTCCGGCTAAGTCTTGATGGGTTCGGGGAGGAAGAGAGAGAGAGAAGTAGGGCTGGAGGAAAGGGGCAGGGGGCTTCTGTAAGCAAGGCTGGCAAGCAGGTAAAAATTTTGTTTTGTGGAAAACAAAAATAAAAGATGCACCCAACGGGGCTGGCTGTGCTTCGTCATTCCTTGGGAATTGGTTGCAGCAGGTGGGGCGTCCTGTGTGCGCAAGATGGGTCGCACTCGCTCATTGTTCCTCTCCAAAATCATAAGACTTGGAAGAGATCGAAGACCCTTCCCCAAAGGCCATCCAGTCCAACCCCTTTATTAAATATTATTATTAACTTTATTTATACTCCGCTAACATCTCCCGAAAGACTCGGTGCGGCTTACAAGAGGCCAAGGCCAACACATCAATAAAACAACAGCATAACAAATACAACAATAAATAAACTCATAAAGCAAAGCAATAAACATTAAAACAATAACAATAAGCATTAGACAATGACACCACGACACATTTAAAACTGAGGCTGGGCCAAATGTAATGGATAAAATATTTTAAAAATGCTGGACATGACAGGTGAAATGGATAGGTTTTTTGGAGGGAGGTGCAGTGTGCAGACTTAAATCTCTAACAAAGTGCTTTTGGGACTTGAAGCTAGGAGTTTCCTATTCTGGGAAGGCACACTGGAACAGCCAGGTCTTCAGGCTCTTCTTAAAGACAGACAACGTTGGGGCTTGTCTGATGTCCTTAGGGAGAGAGTTCCAGAGTCGGGGGGCCACCACAGAGAAGGCCCTGTCCCTCGTCCCCACCAAACGTGCTTGCGACGCAGGTGGGATCGTGAGCAGGCAGGAAGACACAACCCAAGCACTCCCAAGAGATGACCATCCAGCTTTTGCTTTAAAATCTCTAGAGAAAGAGACTCCATTACACTCCGAGGAAGCTTTTACACCAGGAAGTTCTTCCTATAATAAACTTAATAATAAACTTTATTTATACCCCGCTACCATCTCCCGAGAGACTCAGTATGGCTTACATGAGGCCGAGCCCACAATACATCAATGATAAAAGCAATTAAGGCAGGATCAGATCCCATATTTTTGCAGATCAATGGACCTAATAGTTGTGATGGCAAATACCCCTCAATTTTGTTCTGTAGGCTCTTCAGAAAATATAGCTATAGTTTTACAAAATGCCAAGGGTTTCATAGAGAAAAGAGAACGGATGGACTTGACCATATATGGGAGACAAAGACAGGCTTTTGGTGCCAAAGAGTTTTTTGTGAAGAGGTAAATTTTCGGTCAAGAGACATGCTGACTTTACAGAGAGGAACTAGCCAAGGCTAAATTAAGCTTGCCAGATTAGCAGATGTCCCCAGCTGTATTTTGCATATCAGCATCTTGTGATGTTTCCAAAAAGAGCTTGCTTATTGAGAAACGAAACCTAAAAAGTGTATGATCTAATTGCTTAACGTATATATAATATTGACAGCTCTTTTAACCAATGATTTAATCTTTGGGGCGGCCCGTAAGGCCGAACCCCTTTTGATATATAAAATAACTCGAACCCATTGTGCTGGGTGGCTTTCCCGAGAGACGCCTTGTTGCGTCGAAAGCCAACTAGCAGCTGCTATAATAAACTTTGATATTCTTGCTGAACTCAGTTGGCTGTCTTTCCTGACTCATCTGCGCCTGCAATACGGACTCGGTTTGGAAATTTTGGCTGAGCCTTTGAGCAATTGCTCAGGGAAAGAAAAGCCTGCTTCACAATAACAACAATTAATACAGACAAAAAAACTCATATTAAAATGTATTTCTATAAAAGCTACATAATAAAACATATTATTTATCAGAACATATTTATCAGAACCAATGATTGCTGTACATCGCACATCGCACTTGCCCTAGAAGCCTTATATACACCTCCTGTCACATCAGCACTTTTAATTCTTGTACCCTTTACTCTGGCCCGGCCCAGTTTTATTGTGTTTTAGTGTATTGTGCGTGTTGTTTATTTTGCTTTATTCTGTTTTTAATTGTTTGATTTGCTTAGATTGTATTGCTGTGTTGTGTGTTGAGGCCTCGGCCTGTGTAAGTTGCATTGAATCCTTCGGGAGATGCTAGCGGGGTACAAATAAAGTTTAATAATAATAATAATAATATAAACTCTTATTCACACCTAGCTCCAGCAGACAAGAGTCCTCTGTCCCACCCTGGTCATTCCACAGATATATAAACCCATTTTTCCTAGTTCCAATAGACCTCACTACCTCTGAGGATGCTTGCCAGAGATGCAGGCGAAACGTCAGGAGAAATGCCTCTAGAACATGGCAATATAGACCGAAAAAACCCACAAGAACCTAGTAGTAGAGTTGTGTGTCATCTGTGTAGAGGTGGCACCCAACTGCAAAACTCCGGATGACCTCTCCCAGCAGTTTCATGTAGATGTTAAAGGTCATGGGAGTTCTTTGTGGCAAGTTTGGTTTAATTCCATCCTTGGTGGAGTTCAGAATGCTCTTTGATTGTAGGTGAACTATACATCCCAGCAACTACAACTCCCAAATGTCAAGGTCTATTTCCTCCAAACTCCATCTGTGTTCTTATTTGGGCATATGGAATATTTGTGCCAAGTTTGGTCCAGAACCATCATTGTTTGAGTCCAATGTGCTCTCTGGATGTGGGTGAACTATAATTCCCAAACTCAAGGTCAATGTCCACCAAACCTTTCCAAATGACAAAATCAATTTTTTTTTTTTTGAGTGGAGGACATAACATTGGACTGTTGGGTGTCTTGTGTCCAAATTTGGTGTCAATTCCCCCAGTGGTTTTTGAGTTCTGATGAAGCCTCTCTCTGTGTCTTTTCCTCCCCTGAAGCCTATCTGCAGAGCACTCCCCCACCCAAGCCTTCCAGGTGTGACACGTGTCCCCTTTCTGACTCTTTCCCAGTAGGCCTCTGAGGAGGAAGTGACGTACGCGCCCCCTCTTTCGCGAGGCACGCCGGGAAATGCAGTCCAGGGGGCGTGGCCTCGGAGGCGCGTGGCGGGCTCGGCCGGAAGGAAGCGGACAGGAGAGGCAAGGCAAGGCGGAGGGGGGGGGGGCTGGTTCCCATGGCAACCGCAGGCCTGGCTGGAGGGCCTTCAGGCCTTTAGCCTCTGCCTTGGGGGGTGGAGGTCTTGGGTGTCCAGCTTGGGCGCTAGCCACCCAGAAGTGACCCCTCTCCCTCAGGTTGGCTTCCCTCTGGAGTCCCCTCCCTTCCCCCTCTGGAGGCTGGGAAGCAGAGCCCGCATGGCCATCTGTCGGGAGGGATCGGATGGTGTCTCCCTTCCTGGCCTTGGACTGGGTGGCCCCTTCATTCTGTCTTCATGTTTGCCTCTCTGAAGGTTTTCAGCTGAACTGAATGGCTTCTGAACGGAAACGGGATAAATAAACATTATAATAATATATTATAGCAAAACATTGTAATACTATATAATGTAATACTATATTATCATATTAATCTTAGATAAATAGCTGGTTTGAGTCTCTTTTGTGGAAGGAAAAAGCTGGGTATAATAATATATAGCAAAATATTATAATATATAATGTAATAATAATAATACATTCTCATAGTAATAATAGATAAATAGTTGGTTTGATTCTCCTTTGTGGAGGGAAAAGCTGGGTATAATAGTAATAATATAGCAAAATACTATAATAAGATATAATGTAAAAATAATAATAATATATTATAGCAAAATATTATAATACTGTATAATGTAATAATATATTATTATCATATTAATTGTAGATAAATAGCTGGTTTGAGACTCCTTTGTGGAGGGGAAAAGCTGGGTATAATAATAATAATATAGCAAAATACTATAATAAGATATAATGTAAAAATAATAATATAGCAAAATATTATAATACTGTATAATGTAATAATAATATATTATCATATTAATTGTAGATAAATAGCTGGTTTGAGACTCCTTTGTGGAGGGAAAAAACTGGGTATAATATTATAGCAAAATATTATTATAATAATATATAATGTAATAATAATAATAATATATTATAGCAAAATATTATAATAATATGTAATGTAATAATATATTATATTAATCATAGATAAATGGCTGGTTTTATTCTCCGTTGTGGAGGGAAAAAGCTGGGTATAATAATAATAATATAGCAAAATACTATAATAAGATATAATGTAAAAATAATAATATATTATAGCAAAATATTATAATACTGTATAATGTAATAATAATATATTATCATATTAATTGTAGATAAATAGCTGGTTTGAGACTCCTTTGTGGAGGGAAAAAACTGGGTATAATATTATAGCAAAATATTATAATAATAATATATAATGTAATAATAATAATAATATATTATAGCAAAATATTATAATAATATGTAATGTAATAATATATTATATTAATCATAGATAAATGGCTGGTTTGATTCTCCGTTGTGGAGGGAAAAAGTTGGGTATAATAATAATAATATAGCAAAATACTATAATAAGATATAATGTAAAAATAATAATATATTATAGCAAAATATTATAATACTGTATAATGTAATAATAATATATTATCATATTAATTGTAGATAAATAGCTGGTTTGAGACTCCTTTGTGGAGGGAAAAAACTGGGTATAATATTATAGCAAAATATTATTATAATAATATATAATGTAATAATAATAATATATTATAGCAAAATATTATAATAATATGTAATGTAATAATATATTATATTAATCATAGATAAATGGCTGGTTTGATTCTCCGTTGTGGAGGGAAAAAGCTGGGTATAATAATAATAATAATAATATATTATAGCAAAATATTATAATAATATATAATGTAATAATAATAATACATTCTCATAGTAATAATAGATAAATAGCTGGTGTAAGTCTCCTTTGTGGAGGGAAAAAGCTGGGTATTATAATAATAATATAATATATTATAGCAAAATATTATAATAACATATAATATAATAATAATATATTATCATATTAATCATAGATAAATAGCTGGTTTGAGTTTCCTTTTTGGAAGAGGAAAAGCTGGGTATTATTATAATAATATAATATAATATAGCAAAATATAATATATAATGTAATAATAATAATACACTCCCATAGTAATAATAGATAAATAGCTGGTGTAAGTCTCCTTTCTGGAGAAAAAAACCTGGGAATAATAATAATAATAATAATAATAATAATAATAATATATTATAGTAAAATATTATAATACTATATAATGTAATAATATATTCTCATATTAATCGTAGATAAATAACTGGTTTGATTCTCCTTTGTGGATGGGGAAAAGCTGGGTATAATAATAATAATAATAATAATAATAATAATAATAATATATTATTATTATTATTATTATTATTATAACAAATATTATAATAATAATATAATATATTATAGCAAAATATTATAATAATATATAATGTAATAATAATAATACATTCTCATAGTAATAATAGATAAATAGCTGGTGTAAGTCTCCTTTCTGGAGAGAAAAAGCTGGGTATAATAATATTAATAACAATAATATAATATAGCAAAGGCTGGGTATAATAATAAATAATAATAATATATAGCAAAATATTATAATATATAATGTAATAATAATAACAATAATGCATTCTCATAGTAATAATAGATAAATAGCTGGTTTGATTCTCCTTTGGTGGGAAAAAGCTGGGAATAATAATATAATATAATATATAATAGCAAAATATAATAATATATAATGTAATAATAATAATACATTCTCATAGTAATAATAGATAAATAGCTGATTCGATTTTCCTTTGGGGGGGGGAAACTGGGTATTATAATAACAATAATAATAATAATAATAGCAAAATATTATAATAATATATAATGTAATAATGATATATTATCATTTTAATCATAGATAAATAGCTGGTTTGAGTCTCTTTTGTGGAAGGAAAAAGCTGGGTATAATAATATATAGCAAAATATTATAATATATAATGTAATAATAATAATAATACATTCTCATAGTAATAATAGATAAATAGTTGGTTTGATTCTCCTTTGTGGAGGGAAAAGCTGGGTATAATAATAATAATATATTATAGCAAATATAATATATAATGTAATAATAATAATACATTCTCATAGTAATAATAGATAAATAGCTGGTTTGATTCTCCTTTGTGGAGAGAAAAAGCTGGGTAGCAAAATATTATAATAATAATATAATGTTATAATAATAATACATTGTCATAGTAATAATAGATAAATAGCTGGTTTGATTCTCCTTTGTGAAGAGAAAAAGCTGGGTATAATAATAATAATATAATATAGCAAAATATTATAATATATAATGTAATAATAATAATACATTCTCATAGTAATAATAGATAAATAGCTGGTTTGAAGTCTCTCTATGTAGGTGAAACATCAGGAGAAAATGCTTCTAGAACATCCCAGTGTTCCTATTCTCACATTCCTCTCCTTCCTTCCTTCTAGGTGGGCAGAGTGCAGCCAAAAGGATGGCCAGGGAGCGGAGGCGCAGGGCTGCGGATGCCGGGCCCCGAGCGCAGGAAAAGGGCACGCTTCGGCTCATTTCGACGAAGAGGACAGAGCGACCGGGATCCAGCCCTGCATCATCATCTTGGGACCTGGGCCGCATCTGTGGGGTGCTGGCACTGGCCTCGGGGGCCCTGGGCTGCGCTGCCTTTGCCTACGGCCTCTACGCCCGGTGGTGGCTGGCCACCCGGACTGTGACCCTGCACCCAGCCCCCCGCCTCTTGGGGCCCAATGCCAGTGGCCCCAGCCTTTCGCCGGAACTCTTCTGGGGCTCCTACCGGCCCCAGGTCTACTTCGGCATGAAGACCCGCAGCCCCCGGTCTCTGGTCACAGGTGAGGGAGAGCTTTTGTCATAAATATGTTATTGTGATTTTATGTTAGGTTTCATCTGCATGTGAGGCATTCCATTTTGCCATAAATATGTTCGAAACCACTTTGAGTCCCCACCTAGGGTGAGAAAAGCAGTATATTTATCGTATCAGAAGTAAACCAAGGGTACAACTATCCCTAAAATATCCATCCTATTTCACTTTGACAGGCCCAGCATTTTTAAAATTTTAATCATTACATATTGGCCCTGCCACAGGTTTTTAAATGTGTTGTGATATTATTGTTATTGTTTTGCTTTGTTTTTGAGTTATTTACTGTTGTATTGTTGTCGTTGTGTTTTATTGTTGTTGTATTTGGGCTCGGCCTCTTGTAAGTCGCACCGAGTCCTGTGGGAGATGGTAGCGGGGTATAAATAAAGGATTATTATTATTATTACAGTTTTATGGATTGTTCTATGGCTTTAACAATTGTTTTGATATTTAGTGATGTACTGTTTTTAATATGACTTATGTCTAATATGTGGTCTTACTATTGTAGTTGTAAGGCAATGAATTCTTGCCATTATCTCTGTGTAAACCGCTTTGAGTCCCCCTCGGGGTGAGAAAAGCAGTATATAAATACTGTAAATAAATACATAATAAATAATTAATACAGTTGTAATGTATTTAAAAACACAAAGTTTAAAAACTTGGCATGATATTAAATGTCCTTTGGAGCAAGCCAAACAGTTGTATTGCATTTTTAACAAACAAACAAACAAAGCACAAGGTTTGCAAGCTTGGAAGTTGATTAAATGTCCTTTGACCAGTATCTGGCCCCTTGGAATGCCTCTGGTGTTGCCGCAAGAAGGTCCTCCATTGTGCATGTGGCAGGGATCAGGTTGCATTGCAGCAGGTGGTCAGTGGTTTGCTCTTCTCCACACTCGCATGTCGTGGCTTCCACTTTGTGGCCCCATTGCTGAAGGTTGGCTCTGCATCTCGTGGTGCCAGAGCGCAGTCTGTTCAGTGCCTTCCAAGTCGCCCAGTCTTCTGTGTGCGCAGGGGGGAGTCTCTCATTTGGTATCAGCCATTGATTGAGGTTCTGGGTTTGAGCCTGCCACTTTTGGACTCTCGCTTGCTGAGGTATTCCAGCGAGTGTCTCTGTAGATCTTAGAAAACTATTTCTTGATTTAAGGTGCTGGCGTGCTGGCTGATATCTGAACAGAGGATGGGGTGGAGATGTCACTGCCTTGGTCCTTTCATTATATTTATATTATTTTGTATTGCTTTGTATTATTTGTTTAATGCTTTTCTGTTTTGAAGTGTTACTGGCTTGGCCTCATGTAAGCCGCTCCGAGTCCCTTGGGGAGATGGTGGCAGAGTATAAATAAAGATTATTATTATTATTATTATTATTATTATTATTATTATTATCATTATTATTATTATTGGCTGCTGCTTCCCTCAGATATCAGGTGGTGCAATACCAGCTCAACAGTGTAATTTAATTTCTCCAGTGGTGCAGGATGTAGACATCCTGTGATAATGCAGCATGTGTCATTAAGAGCCACATCCACTGTTTTAATGTGGTGGAGTGTTTTCCGTACTGGACATTCGTATTCAACAGCAGAGTAGCAAAGTGAGATGCTGAGGATTTATACTTTTATCAGTTTTATTTTATTTAATGTTATTATTTTATTTAATGTTATTATTTAATGTTATTATTTTATTTAATGTTATTATTTTATTTAATGGACTCTCGCTTGCTGGAACACCTCAGCAAGCGAGAGTCCAAAAGTGGCAGGTTCAAACTTATTCCCACTTACTTTTTATTTCACCAATATTTCTGAGCAGGAGGGGGGTGTACTGTTTCGTGCCAGCCGAATGAATGGTACGAAATGAAAACATGAAAGAAACAAATGTGACAAATACAGAGTCCATGACTAGTGGAATAGGCCGGCAGTAGAGCTGACCACTTATCTGGGGCCACTCTCTGAATCCCAGCCTCCCTCTGCCCCTTTCTGCAGGCTTGATGTGGATGCACCAGCTGGAGGGGGACATCAGGCTACGGCATACTTGTGAGCAAAGCGACGGTCTGCCCCGCTACGGCTGGCTCCTCCACGACGGTGTCCATTTCGGGGTGCAGGAGATCCGTGACGTGGGTCTCAGCCTCCAGATGGAGTTCGTGAAGCGCCCCGGGGGACGACACGGAGGGGACTGGAGCTGGAGGGTCACGGCACGGCCAGAGGTGAGCCGGACAGGGAGGGATCGGTCATATGCTTGTGGGGAGAGCGGGCAGCTTGGCTTTGGCTGTGTTCCCCATGTTTTGTTGAAGGCTTTCATGGCTGGAATCACGGGGTTGTTGTAGGTTTTTTCGGGCTATATGGCCATGTTCTAGAGGCATTCTCTCCTGACGTTTCGCCTGCATCTATGGCAAGCATTACAACAGCAAAACAACAGAGAGGAAACAATCAGGGACAGCTAATCAACCCTCAACAAAAGATTGGCCCAGGTACTGCCAGGCCATCAAATGCTAATCATTAATAATATAATAAATATATACAACAGACAACAACATATAAACTCTGCCAGGCTATTATATGCTAACCAAGGTGGTCAGTTGAAACATTCACACCTAGCTCCAACAGACAAAGAGTTCTTTGTCCCACCCTGGTCATTCCACAGATATACAAACCCATATTCCTAGTTCCAACAGACCTCACTACCTCTGAGGATGCTTGCCATAGATGCAGGCGAAACGTCAAGAGAGAATGCTTCTAGAACATGGCCATATAGCCCGAAAAAACCTACAACAACCCACTTCTCCATGTTGTTCAAGGAGGCTGCCATGTTAATAGGTTTTTGCAGCAAATCTAAGCCCTTTTCCCCAGCTAGTCTAAAGGTGCTCCTCATTTATTTAGTTTATGTCTTTTTGGTTTAATTTTTCCATGTTTGGTGGGAATGAGAGGCTGGCCTTCTCAGTGGTGGTGCCTTGGCTATGGAACACCCTTCCTGGGGACATTAGATCAGCCCCCTCCCTCTTAACATTTTGGAAAAGAGTCAAGACTTGGTTGTTTGAGTAAGCGTTTGAAAATGCAAGGTAAATGACATAGGAATTGGAACGACTGGATGACGAGATGGGACAATGTTTTTGTATTAGGAGACGCAAATGATCTATGTTTTAATATTCTTGTTATAGTTTTATATTATGTGTTAATGTTTTTAAATGTTTTATGGTGTTTTTCGGCATCAAATCGTTGCCATTGTAAACCACCCTGAGTCGCCTGAGGGTTGAGAAGGGTGGTATACAAATACAGTAAATAATAATAATAATAATAATAATTATTATTATTATTATTATTATTATTATTATTCTCAAAAGCAAGCTCAATAGAGGCAATACCATCAAGGCCATAAACACCTGGGCCATACCTGTCATAAGATATACTGCTGCCATCATAAACTGCACACAGGCAGGACTGGACAAGTTAGACAGAAAAACAAGAAAACTCATGACTATTCATAATTCATTACATCCTCGCAGTGATGTTGACTGGCTCTATCTGCCTAGAAGGTCTGGTGGCAGAGGACTTTTACAAGTCAAACAAGCAGTTGAAGAAGAAAAACATGATGCCCTGGTAGAAGATGTCAAAGAAAACCAAGAACCTGCTGTAATTGAAGTCAATAAACAGAAACTTCTCAAAGCACAGCAGACAAAAAGAGTCAGTACAAGAAAATTGCACTCCAAACCAGAGCTGACAGCTGGCGCAACAAAGCCTTGCATGGGCAGTTCCATGATAAAATTGAAGGAAAAGTTGATGAAGAGAAGACCTGGCCATGGCTCACGAATGGAACTCTGAAGAAGGAGACAGAAGAAGGCCTGGTTCTTGCAGCCCAGGAGCATCAGGACAAAGGCCATTAAGGCCAGGATCAAAAAATCAGTGGATGACCCAAAATGCAGACTGTGCAAGGAAGTTGATGAAACCATGGATCATCTCCCCAGCTGTTGCAAGAAAATTGCACAGACGGACTACAAACAAAGGCACAACTCTATGGCCCAGATGATTCAATGGAACTTATGTCACACCAGCAACACCAGAAGCACTCCCAAGTGGCCAGATACTGGTCAAAGGACATTTAATCAACTACCAAACTCACAAATTTTGTATTTTTCTGTTGTTTTTTTGCTTTGTTCTGTTAGAAATGTAATATAATCGACTGGTTGCACTGACACGATAAATAAATGTCACGAGGACCACCTGCCAGCAGGAAAGAATTGGTGGGATCATAAACCCACAAAGGTCGTGGAAAATGAACATTCAAAAATACTGTGGGACTTTCGAATCCAGACTGACAAAGTTTTGGAACACAATACACCTGACATCACGATTGTGGAAAAGAAAAAAGTCTGGATTATCGATGTTGCCATACCGCATTGAGGAAAAACAACAGGAAAAACTCAGCCACTATCAAGACCTCAAAATCGAACTGCAAAGACTCTGGCATCAACTAGTCCAGGTGGTCCCAGTGGTAATAATGGGTGCCGTGCCAAAAGATCTCAGCCGGCATTTGGAAACAATAAACATCGACAAAATCACGATCT